CATTTATAGATAATAATCTCAAAAAAGCTTCAAAGAATTTTTTGGATGCCTTTAGAGAACTGCAATTCTCCTCCCATTGCAACTTACAAAGGTTGATTCCGCTGAAAAACTCACCTAAATGGTTCCCACCCTTACAGAGATCTTTCGCAATTAAATTTCATGAAATATTGAATGGCTTCAGAAAAGGCCTGCTGTTGCTCCACGACAAAGTGGAAAATTGTTCCCCTCTAAATTCGGTAATTTCTACTGGACAGCATTGCAAAAATGTTTTCGTTTAGCGGCGAAGTTTTATAAATTTTATTGGAAAATGCTTCGTCTTGTCAACTCTTGGGGGTGAGTGACTTTTCATACGATGAGCAGTTCCGAGGTGCGAGGTGTGAACACCTACGGCTAAGTATCAAGTCTCGCACCTCCGTGTCTAGTATACTGTAGAGAGGGGGGGGGACTTTTCTTACGAATGCCTCCACATCATCCTTTGGCAAAGATCCAGTAAAAACTGGCACCATGCCAGGTTTGAACCTGCTGGCTCCATTCCAAAAAACATCTAGATTAACTTTTGCAGTACCGCGAATTTGGATAAACGGAAAGCTTGAATACTGTATGGATTCAAAAAGTGTTTTGCTGTGAAAAATAACACTATGATCGTTGCACTAACGAACTTTTTAATATTCAAGTCGACATAATTCGGTCTCTTTTGCAAACGTTTTGAACTGATTAGAGTATCGTCACATTCCTCTCCGACCTTTCAGCATGACCTGGAAGTGTTACTCTTCCCATAGGGGATATTGGAGGGGGAAGACGGTCAAGAGGCGCGATTTTTATGGGTGTCATCAACAGCTCAAAACTCCAGTTTCATGCTATAGGAAAGTTCAAAAAGTGCCGGACAAAATTCATTGGCTTACTAGCTGTTTGAGTAACCACTTTAAGTTTGACGACTTTTGCTAGGAAACTGACAGAAATATTTACATGCTGTTAACTGCATTTTTATGTTTTTGACCTTCAACAATTTGTTTGAAATCGATTTCAGGATGATGAGATTGAACAAGATTTCGCAATATTTCTTTCGAATTTTCAAGTAATTCTAGAACATAAAACACTAAATATTTGCTATATGCTACCCATCTGCAATAGGAATCGCGCCTCTTGATATATCTACACCCACTGGAGGGTATGCGACTCGATAAAGCGAACTATTCATTACTACAATTGTGCCAGTTGTTTGCGAAAATGAATTCGCTGTGGCCTGACGATCTTTACTATGATACGCTACTTCAACCCGATAAGCTTTATACAACAGATAAAATCAAGATATTCTTTAGTTTACGCATTTTTGGAATAAACGTTTCATTTTAGTCCATTGTAGTCGATAACTGGACATATTACCAGCACCCTAGCATACGCTAGAAGGTCAAAGTGATCGGGGAGCGTTCGTATGAAAGGTCCCCCTCCCCCCCCCTCACCTAGGCGTAGTGGAGAACGTGGATGGGGAGGTGCGATGTAGGTGTGAGGTAGTTGCGAAGGCTAGGTGCGAAGTCCCCGATCGTATGAAAAGTCCCCCCCCCCCCCACTCTTGGAAAAATTGCCTTGAATAAAAGCCCGTACTCTTGTAGGCGAAGTGGAGGTGCCTTAGAAGGGTTCGCGTCATTTCTTTTGAAAATCTTCATAGTTTAATAAAATTGGAACTGCTGTTATGGCTTGAAAAAATGATGGTACTTTGTTCGAAACGGAAGGGAGTATAAGGTGTTTTACATCACTTTTGGGGTAAGCCAAAATGAGAAAAATTTTTTTGGTTGTAAAATTCTCTGGGAAGATCAGGAAGAGAAAGTTCAAAATTTTACAAAAAATCGAAGCAGATCGTCAGCCCGCCGTCACGTGGGATCGGCAAAAACTGGGATTTTACCTTTGAGCCGTCAAAATCTTTTTACAAAAAACCTAATCGAAAAGCCCACAGTGACCTTAAATTCTCAATCTGTAATTCGGGCATTACTAATGTAGCTGCACAACCCACCTGCTAGCAACCCATAATGTCGCTAGTCTCCTATAAAAAGCTGAATTCAATTTAAAACCGGATAGCAGCTTCAGAAGCTGAATGTCTGTTAGCACATATACGGGGGGAAAGGAGGCTGTCGTAGGCTACTCGTCATCAATCGATATCGATTTTATAGACTTTTACCGATTTTTTGTAAAGTTCGGGGCTTAGAGTTGCCACATGGGGGGGGGGGTAATCGAGCATGCTGATTATGAATACAATATTAGTTTTCGAAATTTCTGTTACTTTCTTAGCGAATTTATCGATTTTTTGCAATGTTCGAGCTACGGGGCTGAGATTTGGCACAGAGGGGGGGGGGGAGGATCGAGCATGCTGAATACGAAAAACATCAATTTTTGAAATTATCCGTTACTTCCATCGATATTATTGATTTTTTTGCAAAGTTTGAGGTACGAGGCTAGGAATTGGCACAGATGGATAAGTGAGCATGCTGATGACTAATACAGCGGGAATAGGGAGTTGGAGTTCGTATGTAGAAGTGGGCACAAGGAAAGGTGTGCAGAGATAGGGATGGGACCTTTATCGTAGTGTTTTGACAGGGCCGGGCATAGACGGGTATGCCAGCTAGTTTAATATAGCTAGTATCTTAATATACCGATGGTATATTGGCCGTCTTGAAAAATGTTTACGAGAAAGATATGTTACATGTTGCAGCGCCCATTCTTAGCGGCAATCCTGTATACCTAAGAAGCACGATAAGAACTAACTATACTCTATATTCATAACTCCACAAGTTGGGCTGAGAAAAAGGCAAGTAAACGCCTAAATGCAACTTTAATAGACCTACTTTTAATTTTAAAGAGAATATGAGTAGAACTTTTCCATTTGCTACTTGAGGTCGGTAAGTCACCCTTTAGTTCATATCTCTACCTAGGGAAGTAGCATGGCTTTCACATTGCGGTTCCTCAGTCTTCTGTGATATAAACCCGTAAATTCGCAAGCAATAACGCAAGCTCCAATATACTTTACTTCCAAAAATCAAAAATTCTTTCCTCAACTTCTTTTTTCTCATCCCCTTTAAATTCCTCATTTTTCTAATTTATTAAGCGAATATGGTTGATGGGGGAGAAGTAAAATAGGCGGAATCGGAGGAATTTGGTAAGATAAACAGCGACTTCATTTCCTAAATTTTCATTACTAATATATTGTGGCAATGCTACCGGATTTGAGATGGATTATTTTGTAAGTGGGCGGAACCCAAAGGCGGTAAATCCGCAATGAACAACTGGAAATTTTAATGCGGTAGATTGCTTATCCTTCTTCTTCTCTAATTCAAAACAAGACAGAGTAATCATATAGCACAGTTTGCCCTGCCTGCCGAAAAAAAATGCCTGAAGACTCGTACGCGCAAGCCCTCCTTGCAGCCCTCCCTCCACTTTGAAAAAAGGGCCTTGAAAAAAGCCATTTTCGTCATTTTCAAGCTCTCTAAGGTAAATTTGCAGCATCAGCGCCTCGGATAACCCAGTAAGCGAGAACTGCCAAAAGACAAAATTTGCCGAGCCGCTGCCTTTAACATGTGGGGAATTTGGGGAATTTTTCGCGTATTTGCAAACCAATGCGTCACCTCCGCTTCGCAGAGGTTCGCACTGGCTCTGTTAACCGTATGCCTTATTCATGCTCCCAAAATGATGACTTTGAAACTCTCCGCGCGAGGCTGTACATCATAAATGAATTGTAAACAACTGTTTATTCTTGAAGCATCTCCATGTAAGATCGGTAATTTTGAGAAAGAAAACTTTTTTGCCAAGGAATAAATACGAATTCGGACAGATTATTGATTTGGGCTTGATAATTGTTATAAAGATAATAGTCATTTTGGGTTACATTTCCATGCAAAAATCTTTTCAGATATTTATGTAAAACCTTGTCAAATCGACTCTCTACGCGATCACTACTTTTTGGCGCTGTTCTTGCGGAAAAGCAAATTTTTGAGCACTTTTTGAGCTAGAATTCTTGGAGCGCAGATTTGCTTGTCAGGCAAATCAGGACTTTGCAAAAAGTTGAATTTGTGACCTAGTTTTGCGCGTCAAAAGCCAGGTGGACCCGTTTGAGGCGCAATTTTTGAAGGACCCGCTTATCGAACCGGATCGTCCTTGTGCATGGTGGGCCTACACGCTGGTACGGTATGCTATGCAAAATTGTAGCACGACAGCTTGGCTGCAGCTGCCTCTATGAATTTCGTGACAGACAGACAGACACACACAGACAGACAAACAGACACACACACACACACACAAAAAAGACAGACGTTTAGCGTTTTATTATAAGTCATGATAGAGGAGGTGGAGGTAGGTGGGCAGTCAGTGAAGGTGCGGAGCTTCATCAAGTTCTGACTGAAGTAGGATGAGCCTTGACTAATGGTTTCACTGTTTTACTTGGCACATGAAAATTTTGAAGTACACAACACTTTAAAGTTCTTTTCGACGCTTTTGAGGCAGATCTTGCAGTTGCATTTGCCAAGTACCAAGTACTCATGGGAAGAAATTGGATTTTCGGGAGAGCCGAATATAAATAATAAAATAAATCTTTAAAAAATCAACAATTTTATTCGCAATATGTTTCATAGAATATGAAGTTGCGAGATTCTGAAGATTGCGCAGTATGATGTGTTCGGAATAGGCAACTGCATGCAAAGATCTAGATCCTGAATTTCTTATGGTCAGGTAAATAAACAGTGCTAATTCGTGCATAGAATAGAATTGAGAATATGTCAGCTACGAAGTGAAATTCAATTTTTTTTCGTCTTCATAATCGCGCACACCGGGGGCGGAGAAGGGGACGAGAAGGTAGGATGAGTGTCTTCAAAGGAGCTGGTCTCAAGAATGAAATGAAAAGACTTTTTTGATGATAGGATTGACAAGATTGAAAAATCATATATCAACTAGCATTTATACGCTTGTAAAATTCTACTCGATGGAGGATATGATAACAGAGTGACTGCTGTTTACAGAGCTTCAACGTTGAGAACGTCAATTGTCAAAAATGCAAAATACCTATGTCATCATTCGTATCATCATCACGCATTTATCTCTGCTCCTGTGCAACGTCTCGTCTGAAGGTAAAAAAGTCTGACTGCATGATCATACTTGACAAATTGTTACGCTTGTACTGTAGAGACGTTTACAAGATTTTGTTTGAACGCAGGACGTCATGGCGAAGGAACACTCCAGGTATGTAAAGCTTATATTAGGCAGTAACTTAGCGCATCGTATACGCGTACAAGGAAATAATTGGAAATCAACTTGGCTATTCTCATCGAGCAGCATACTACTGGCGGCAGCATAAATCGCCCATTTTCAAATCTGAATTTGCGAACGCCTTCGAGAGACGAAGTTATAATCTAGTATATTGCATGACATTGTGTGCGAGAAATGCAAACTTGTACACGCAAACCCATATTTAGTTTGGTTTTAGGTGGAGCATACAGATAGTTTGCTTTATACAGTCCATTCCAGTTTGAGCAAAATAGCATTTATGTGTCTTATTTTGCAATCATGTGTACAGTTCATCGCAATGAAACTGCTTATACCTTTATTCACAAGAGTCTTCAGCAAGTACGCAAGACAAACTTGGAATCAGGGTTATTCTGCACCTAGTGTGCAGCTTGTTGTGAATGGCAGTCACGACTTCTGGGAGGGTATGTGTCAAAATCCATTTTGTGTTTGGGCATCATTCACTATAGAAAATAATCGCCCGGCGCGGGATGTATGAAACTCGCGGGCTCTCAATCCGGAGGTTCAGCGCACGCCACCTCGCAAGGTCGCACATTAGTACTCTGCGTTGATACCACTGCTT